TAGACCTTAAACTTCTAATTTTAAATATTTTAAGTTTAGGAATTATTTTTTATACTTTTTTCATTTGTAAATTATGAAAAATATACTTTTTTTTTATTTTTTCTGTCAGTTTATTTTATTAAAGATATCTATATATACACATTTTTACTCTCTATTATATATTCACATTTTCAATCCTTGAACCTAACCTTTTATTATATATGCACATTTTTAATCTTTAAATATATAAAAAAGAGAAACGAAAAACTCAAAATCACAATAGTACAAAACAAAGTCTAAACATATTTAAAATTAGTTGTCCTACTTTGGTGTCATTTAAAGTTTTTATTTCTATTTTTCCTTTATTTAATTTAAGGAGATAATTATAATATATATTTAAATACACATATTTATTTTTTAAAAAAACTAACTAGTTAGCAATAAATCTAATTATTTTAATTAATTAACTATTATATTTTTATTTTATTTATATAGAAAAAATTAGGCCAACTATGGTTATTTTCCTTTTGGGCAACTCCCAATCCTAACATTTTGATTAAAGTTAACTTACTGAGTTGATATCATTTTTTCTATGCTTCTTGTTGGTTAAATATGTATATATATATATATATATATGTTGGGTGTAGTTTAGAGTTTGATACTTTAATTTAGAGAAATTTTATGAATTCAAAATTTATGTCCTATAGTGAAAGATTTGAGAAAATAAAATTACTGTAATATCTTATACAATCTATTATTAGATATACTTAATAACCGACACAGAAAACTACTAGCAAATTAAAGATCTTTCAAAGAAAATTAATTGAGAAGCAAAGAGAAACTTCAACATATTAAACCGAACAAAAAGCATTAAAAGGAATCAACAAGGGCCTACATGCTAATTCAGAGAAGTCTTTTACAGGAAAATTAACAAGAAGAAGAAGAAGAAGAAGCCATGCTTTCTTTTTCAGTTGCTTGCCTTCTTGGGGCTCTCTTGATCGAATTCATTAAGGAAACCAAGCAGGACGGTGCTCTGGCATTTAGGGCACTTGGGATCCGCGTCCGATAACATCACGTACATCAGGCATCGAGGGCACCCCGCCAACACCATCGACGTCGCCTCTGGGCTAGGATCAGGGTATCGCATGCTCTCCACTGCCGGCTCCGACGAAACGCACGAACTCTCCGGTGACATCTCCCTGGACGAAACTGACGTGCTTGGGGATCCTACTTGTGGGTTAGCCGGCCTCGGAGGCGACAGGTTCAGCCTCAATTCAAGCATCGGACTTCCAGCTCTTCGACTCATGACTAATTTCTCGCTACCAAAAATCAACTTTCTGCAGAATCACATGCAAAACCTGCTGAGATAAACGAACTTACCGGTCTAGGAAAACGAGGACAGATTTATATTTTGCCGAAGAAGCCAGGGAAATGGAAAGGTTTTGGGATGGCTATTAGATAAGGCAGATGAGGCTTAAATGGAGAAGATCGTAGAAGGAGATAGAAAATGTTTGTGTTGGGTAAACCCAAAAGGCCAAAGGAATGTATGGTGTTGGTTTTGGCCCTGTCGAGCCACTATATATTAACTTTGAGAGAGGAAGAGATGAGATTTTTCTTTAACTCTGAATTAATTATGGGTAGGAGTGGAGGGTAAGTGAAAATGAAGTTGATTCAAGTGAATTTAATTAATAGTAGAAAAAGTCAAAACAATGAAAGATTAGGTATTTATTTGGTGCCTTATATTTACTCATTGCTTGATGGTGGGATTCTATGTCTAGTATTTGCACTCATGAGTTGAAGAGATGATAGCATATATCGCTTTCTGTATGCATCCTTTTTACTGCTCTAGCTGCACTTCTCTGCACACAAATTTAAATAATTCATTAATATAGCAGTTTGAATAATTTTTTTTATCAAATAAAATTATATTTAGAAAATTAAAATGTCAATCAAACAATATAGAAAGGCCATACTCAAATCAGGAATGGTTATGTCCCGCACTCGGCGGCCAAATGGCCACCCCTTGTAAGGGACGTGCGTAAGACTACAAGGGATGTGCGTAGGACTACAAGGGACGTGAGATCAAATCCCAAGTCTCCTATTCTCCTTTTTCCCAAAAAAAAAGCAAAGATTTCACACTGTTTAAAAAAAAAAAAAATCAGGAATGGTTATGGGCATTGGGTTGGGCCACGTAAATTTTCATATGTTGTCTTTTAAAATATTAATGTTGTAAAAATTTGATTATTATTAAAAAGAGTTAACAATTATAATTGTTAATTAATAAATAATAAAATAATTAATATTTATTATTTAAAATATTAAAATTATGAAAAAGTATAGTACAATCTGATTTTTATCAAATTACACTATATTAATTATTAGATAAAATGTTGGATTTTGCCCTTAATTTGCTTTATCCATTAATGATTCTCATTTTACAATTTAATATTACTCAGCCTATAAGATAAAATTCCTTAAAATTAAGTCTACACATTGATAATTTTTAATATCATAATTGACTATTTATGGAAAAAGAAATTTTATGTAACCTTGTCAATTGATTGTGTTGTGGGGCCTTAACCACTTTCCTCAAATCAATGTGCGAAAGAAAGTCAAGTGATGGGTAAAATCGATATGAAGGACACCAAGGAAACATGCTACTCCATTATTTGGATGGTGATTAATTAAAAGAGACTACTTCAAAGATAATTAATTACTACTAAATAAAGGTAAGGGAATTTGTGCCATATCAATTTGATTGTGATTTGGTTTTTTAAGATGCTAATTAAGGAGTGATTTGGTTTAGGGTTTGCAAATAGTTACCAACTGTTGTTTCTAATTGAATGAA